GTATTCGTTCTAAATGCGGGGGGGGAAAACCGGAGGACCCCGAGAAAAATCTACGCGACCTCGGGGAGGGAGGGAGAGAGAGAGAGAGACGCAGACCCCGAAGGTACAACAGGCGCCGTCAGGGCCGCGGTCGAACCCACGCCCTCTCCATCCCGGGCGGAGGAGATAATATCTCATAGAGCCGCCGCTCAATTCAAGAGTCGCGTTACGCTCTTGTCCATGGCAACACTGCTGACAATGCTCTTTGTTGCTGGCTGACGCATTGGTAACATTGCAACTGTGCCAGAAGCAAACCCGCATTTCAACGCACCGTTGCGTATCTGTGCGTACCTGCGGGTTCCTGCGGGTTCCTGTGGGGTCCTGTGGGTGCCTCTGGGTGCCTGTGGGTTCCTCAACTGGTCCAGAAGAACCGAGTCGCAGCCTTCACAGCGCGGTGCAACCCCCTTGCGGTGCAGAACGGCCCTCGTGGAAAATGTTTCCTTAACGTTCGTAGAGCCGCGGTGGCTATGAGATGTTAACTACCTCGCCTGGTACACAGGAAGTCGTGGGTTTGATCACGACCCTGACGACACCTGCTGCTGCTGCTGTATATTTGGAGTCTGCGTCTCTCTCTCTCTCATCATCACAGTGGCTATGAGATGTTAACTACCTCGCCTGGTACACAGGAAGTTGTGGGTTTGCTCCCGACGCTGACGATGCCTGCTGTTGTATATGTGGAGTCTGTCTCTCTCATCATCATCACGGTGACTATGAGATATTAACTACCTCGCCTGGTACACAGGAAGTTGTGCGTTCGATCCCGACCCTGACGATGTCTGCTGCTGCTGTATATGTGGAATCTGTGTGTCTCTCTCATCACGGTGACTATGAGATGTTAACTACCTCGCTTGGTACACAGGAAGTCGTGCGTTCGATCCCGATCCTGACGATGCCTGCTGTTGTATATGTGGAGTCTGTGTCTCTCTCATCATCATCACGGTGGCTAGGAGATGTTAACTACCTCGCCTGGTCTACGGGAGGTCGTGGGTTCGATCCCGACCCTCACGATGCCTGCTGCTGTATATTTGGAGTCTGTGTCTCATCATCATCACGGTGGCTATGAGATGTTAACTACCTCGCCAGGTCTACAGGAAGTCATGGGTTTGATCCCGACCCTGACGATGCCTATTGTTGTATATGTGGAGTCTTTGTCTCTCTCTCTGCGTGGCCACGTGGATTTTTCTCCGGGACTTCCGGTTTTCCCCCTCCACATTTTTAACGAGCCACTTCGTTGGGCTATCATTTGCGGTAGCCAGGTCGCATCTGAGAAAGAGCTACACAGCTCAGCGGGGCTTACCTGGTCAAATACAACAAGTTGGGGACATGTCCCTGGAAAGCAGCGTGAATAGAAACGTAATATTGCCATTGACTTATATTCTATCTCTCCTTGGCTCCTCCCCCCCCCTCTCTTACCTATGTAGCGGGTTCACGGGACACGGAGACAGTGGAGTAGAGGCAGCACTATTTATTCAACGTAACAGGGGTTACACTGGAAGGGGTAACGGCCCCTTCACCCGTATACACGCTGGGACACCCCCTAGGCTATCAGCCTAACTCCTGTGCTCCCAGTTCCTCCATCTAGAGGAGGCTATCTGACCTGGCCCCTGGTCAAGCACAGATCGCGACACCTCACCAACCAGACCGGCCCTTAAAAGGGCTCCGGCTCTGAGGCTCTGGGGCCGCACCACCGGCTTGCCCTGCCGGCCCTCACAAGGGCAGCGGTCAGGGGAATCCCAGGGTCTATCTCGCCGCCCTTCCTTCTTCACTGGTTCTTCATTCTCGGCCCCAACGCACTGCCCCCAGCTCTCTGGCTCCCAGCCCTTTTTACCCGTACACCACTGAGGGCGGGGCTATAGCGGACGTGGTTGTAGCCACCAAGGTGTGTCTGTGTGTTACCTTCCCACAACACCCCTACACCTATAAAGCCTCTGGTTACAGCAGCCCTTTTGCCCACTTCAGCAATTGTTTTCTTGCTGTGGTTGTCCCGCTTGCGTTGCGCCCGAAACGTCGTGATTTCATGTATTTTATTTTCTACCTACGTGATGACTTTACCGAAAGAGCCAAAGAGTATGCATCCCTGCAGTCGCGGAAACTTCAAATCCAGATTAATTACCCAAACAGATATGCAGGAACACGGAGACCCAACGCGATTTTTTTTTGCGTCGCACGGCCAATATTCAGCCACCTGTCAGACAGCGCCCACGTGTGAGCGTCCCTGACTCGCAGCAGTCTCTGCCACGTGATACAAGATTCGTCGAGTTTTTCTTTCCCACGTCAGCGTATTCATGGTGAGGTAATATATCTTAGTATATCAATCGTATACACTTGCTTCTCACGCCAATGGCACCGTCCTATGTCGAGCAGTAGAACCTTCTACTACTGCTACCAGTAGAGCTACTTGTAGGGTCTGTATCCCATTACGATCCATCATCCCATCTCTAGTAGTAGTACTACTACTGGTGCTACTACTAGTACTACTAGTAGGGTCTGTATCCCATTACGATCCATCATCCCATCACTAGTAGTAGTACTACTACTGGTGCTACTACTAGTACTACTAGTAGGGTCTGTACCCCATTACGATCCATTATCCCATCTCTAGTAGTAGAACCTACTACTACTGGTGCTACTACTAGTACTACTAGTAGGGTCTGTACCCCATTACAATCCATTATCCCATCTCTATTAGTAGAACCTACTACTACTGGTACTACTACTAGTACTACTAGTAGGGTCTGTATACCATTACAATCCATCATCCCATCTCTAGTAATACAACCTACTACTACTGGTGCTACTACTGGTACTACTACTGGTGCCAGTAGTAGTATCAGTAGTAGTAGGTTATGAACCACGTTACGATGCACCGTCCCGTCTCTCCGCTTCGATTTAAGTTCTTTCCATTTTACGTTTTGGTTTCCAGGAACGCATCCTGGGTGTAAACCGGGCCGTGCCTGTACAACCAGTTTCAGTAAATGATGTAAGTTTATACGGGCAAATCACCAGGGGTGTTGGTGGTGGAGTTTGCATTTGGGAGAGGCTAATGTACAGCATGGCGATCGAGTACACCGCAGTGTGTACAGTATGGCAATGCCATACAGTGCAACATACAGTTCGACAGTGTCGTGCGGTACAGTGTGGCGGCTCAGCACCGATTCAGATGATCGTCGCCTGCTGTCGGTGGAGTCGAACTCGGGACACGGGGTTCGTAGCGCAGTGCTGACCATGGTACCACTGCTCGCAGAACCAACACACGACACGCACCCGAATTTGGATGAACATTGTCGGTAACTATTATTTATACTCCATTTATAATCTACGAATGCTTTTTGTTTTTAATTTCAATTTTTGTTTTTTAGTTTATTTGGTGTCTGGCACGAACGCTTATTTTCACTTGTGATGTTATCTCTGTTGTGGTTGGCGTGTTCCTAACCCCATTGTTTAGGCAAGGCTTATAATTATTAAGCGTTAGTTGTCACGGCTTCGGCTTTTGCGGCACTTCCCAAGAACGTAACCCCCTCCGATGTCCAAGGGTCCGAGCCATCCCTGAGATAAAACTAAAACAAACTGAGCATTTGTTTTTTATTATTGCCAAGTAAGGCAACCCACTGAGCTCTGTGGCCCTTCCTCAGAAGCGGCCTAGTCATCACAAATGATGGCTCAACGAAGTGGCTTAACATCATCATCATCACGTGAATATTTATAGCAGTAGGCAAATATTCTAAACGCCATAGAGACACACAGTGACCCATACACTAAACTATATTTTTTATCTTGCCAGGTAAGGGCCCAATGATCTGTGTAGCTCTTTGTCAGTGACCTGGCCATCACAAATGATGGCTCAACGAAGTGGTTTAACATCATCATCATCACGTGAATATTTATAGCAGTGATCAAATATTCTAAACGCCATAGACACACAGTGACCAATACACTAAACTATTTTTTTATCTTGCCAGGTGAGGCCCCAATGATCTATGTAGCTCTTTGTCAGTGGCCGGGTCATCACAAATGATAGCTCAACGAAGTGGCTTAACATCATCATCACGTGAATATTTATAGCAGTGGTCAAATATTCTAAACGCCATAGAGACACACAGTGACCCATACACGGAACTATTTTTTATCTTGCCAGGTAAGGGCCCAATGGTCTGTGTAGCTCTTTGTCAGTGGCCTGGCCATCACAAATGAGAGCTCAACGAAGTGGTTTAACATCATCATCATCACGTGAATATTTATAGCAGTAGGCAAATATTCTAAACGCCATAGAGACACACAGTGACCCATACACTAAACTATTTTTTTATCTTGCCAGGTAAGGGCCCAATGATCTGTGTAGCTCTTTGTCAGTGGCCTGGCCATCACAAATGAGAGCTCAACGAAGTGGTTTAACATCATTATCATCATCACGTGAATATTTATAGCAGTAGGCAAATATTCTAAACGCCATAGAGACACACAGTGACCCATACACTAAACTATTTTTTTATCTTGCCAGGTGAGGCCCCAATGATCTGTGTAGCTCTTTGTCAGTGACCTGGCCATCACAAATGATGGCTTAATGAAGCGGCTTGTCATCATCACGTGGGAATTTCTAGCAGTAGGCAAATATTCTAATTGCGTGCTGATGTTGATTCTTAAAATCAACGCGACCGCGTGGAGAGAGAGAGGGAGAGAGACGTGCATACTCTAAATATACAGCAGGCGTCGTCAGGGACGGGATTGAACCCACGACCTCCTGCATGCCAAGCGAGGTAGTTAACATCTCATAGACCACCGTGACGATGATGAGAGAGAGGCACCACACACTCCACATATGCAACAGCAGGCGTTGTCAGGGTCGGTATCAACCCCACGACTTATTGCATGCCAGGCCAGGGAGATAACATCTCCTAGCCACCGCGGTGGCAACGTTTCATTTGCAAAATGATCCCCGCCCCCCCTCTCCCCACCTTCCACAGGAGAGGGCTGAACCCCCCCCACCGAGTCAAGTCCATCTCCATGACGACGTTCTCACAGCAAGAGATCGACTTCCTGCAGAGCCACGGCAACGAGGTAACAGTAGCGATGAGGCAACCCATGGCAACAGGGTGGCCACCAGGAGGTCACGGGGACAGATCCAGCAGGTGCCATGGGTTGACTGCTGTGCCAGGCTAGGTGCAGGAGGAGGTCACGGCACAGACCCAGCAGGTGCCATGGGTTGACTGCTGTGCCAGGCAAGGTGCATGAGGAGGTCACGGCACAGACCCAGCAGGTGCCATGGGTTGACTGCTGTGCCAGGCTAGGTGCATGAGGAGGTCACGGGGACAGACCCAGCAGGTGCCATGGGTTGACTGCTGTGCCAGGCTAGGTGCAGGCGTTGATGAGACATAACCAGGTGCCATGGGTTGACTGCTGTGCCAGGCTAGGTGCAGGAGGAGGTCACGGGACAGACCCAGGTGCTATGGATTGACTGAGATGACTAGCAGATGCACCACCTGTGTGTCCGTGACTCTCCGTGTGTCCTTGCGTGTGTGTCCGTGTGTGTCCGTGCGTGTGTGTGTGTCCGTGTGTGTCCGTGCATGTGTCCTTACGTGCGTGTGTGTGACCATGCATGTGTGTGTGTGTGACCATGTGTGTGTGTCCGTGTGACCATGCGTGTGTGTGTGTCCGTGTGTGTCCGTGCATGTGTCCTTGCGTGCGTGTGTGTTTGTGTGTGACCATGCATGTCTGTGTGTGTCCGTGTGTGTCCGTGCATGTGCCCTTGCGTGCGTCCTTGCGTGCGCGTGTTTGTGTGTGACGATGCGTGTGTGTGTGTCTGTGTTTGTCCGTGCGTATCCTTGTGTGTGTGTGTGAGACCATGTGTGTGTGTGTGACCATGCGTGTGTGTGTGTGTGACCATGCGTGTGTGTGTGTGTGACCATGCGTGTGTGTGTGTGTGACCATGCGTGTGTGTGTGTGACCATGCGTGTGTGTGTGTGACCATGCGTGTGTGTGTGTGACCATGCGTGTGTGTGTGTGACCATGCGTGTGTGTGTGACCATGCGTGTGTGTGTGACCATGCGTGTGTGTGTGTGATCATTCGTGTGTGTGTGTGACCATGCATGTGTGTGTGACCATTGTGTGTGTGTGACCATGCGTGTGTGTGTGTGTGACCATGCGTGTGTGTGTGTGTGTGACCATGCGTTTGTGTGTGACCATGCGTTTGTGTGTGACCATGCGTGTGTGTGTGTGTGACCATGCGTGTGTGTGTGACCATGGAACATCTTTGCCGGTTAGAAACATTTAGGCTGGCCTGCCTACGATCCATCCTGGGTTTAACCAGACTGGATTGTGTGAGGAGCTCACAAATCCTTGAAAGATCTGGGCAAGGTCCCATCGGTGAGCTCCTCCGGCGGGCAAGGCTGCGATGGCTGGGTCATGTAGCCCGCATGCCCAGCCACCGCATGCCGAAACAGCTTTTGTTCGGCCGGATTGAGGGGGCAAAGCGGGCGCGGCACGGGCTAGAGAAGAGATGGAGTGATGTGGTACAGGAGGACGTGGAGCTGAGTGGACTTGCCGATGACTGGTACCAGCGGTGTCAAGATCGGCCTCTGTGGAGGAGGCTCGTGAAGGATACTACTGGGCAGTTGGAGGTAGTCGCACTCCAACAACAACGGAGGGTGGAGGAGCGACGCTCACAACAACGAGCGGAGCGCCGGGTGGCTAAAGCACAGCAGGTTGGCACAGTAGGGGGCACAGGTGGTGCATCAGCCAGTCATCTCAGTCAGTCGACCCGTGGCACCTGGGTCTGCCCTGTGACCTCCTGCCAGCGGGGGTTCGACACTTCACGTGGCCTCAGGGTGCACATAGCCTGGCTCAAGCGTCGTGGTGACGTCACCGCCACTTAGTGGCGAATGGCGGTTGTTGTTGTGTGACCATGCGTGTGTGTGTGTGTGACCATGCGTGTGTGTGTGTGACCATGCGTGTGTGTGTGTGTGACCGCGCGTGTGTGTGTGTGTGTGAACGTGTGTGTGTGTGTGACCATGCGTGTGTGTGTGACCATGCGTGTGTGTGTGACCATGCGTGTGTGTGTGTGTGACTATGCGTGTGTGTGTGTGACTATGCGTGTGTGTGTGTGACTATGTGTGTGTGTGTGTGTGACCATGCGTGTGTGTGTGACTATGCGTGTGTGTGTGTGTGACCATGTGTGTGTGTGTGTCCATGTGTGTGTGTGTGACCATGTGTGTGTGTGACCATGCATGTGTGTGTGTGTGTGACCATGCGTGTGTGTGAGACCATGCGTTTGTGTGTGACCATGCGTGTGTGTGTGACCATGCGTGTTTGTGTGACCATGCGTGTGTGTGTGACCATGCGTGTGTGTGTGTGACCGTGTGTGTGACCGTGTGTGTGTGACCATGCGTGTGTGTGTGTGTGACCATGCGTGTGTGTGTGAGACCATGTGTGTGTGACCATGCTTGTGTGTGTGTGTGACCATGTGTGTGTGTGTGACCATGCGTTTGTGTGTGACCATGCGTGTGTGCGGCGTGTGTGCGGCGTATCTTTGCGTGGTGCAGGTGTGCCGCGCCACGTGGATGGGCCTGCACTCGGAGCGGGTCGGCAGCCTCCCCGACCACAAGGACTCGCAGAAGACCAAGGAGTTCCTGCAGGACAAGTATGAGAAGAAGCGATGGTGAGCGCTAGAATTGCGTTAACGTTTTGTATTTTACCAGGCCCGCTGATGGACCTGTCCATCACCGATGACAGCCCAACAAAGTGGCTCGTCATCACGTGGACATTTCTCGCGGCGGCAAAATAGTCTGAACGCGTAGGGGCGTCGACCTGGAGAAAAATCCACGGGGGAGAACCACGCAAATCGAATGCACAACAGGCGCCAGGTTCGCCATTGAGCCCACGACCTCCTGTATACCAGGCGAGGGAGTGAACATCTCCTAGCCGCCACGGCGCTCTAAACCTGGTGGCCCGAGTTGGATTCCCGGCCACGGTCGACGACGACTCTCTGAATCGTTCTTGGACCTTCACTAGGTTTTAGCTCGGGCTCAAACGAGTAGCTGGTACGATGCAAAGACAAAGGCGGTCTGGGCGTGATGCTGGACCGCCCACCCGTGCCGTCGGCCTTCATAGGTGAAGGCCGACGGCACTCACCCCGGCAGCCTTTTAGGGCTATACGGAGGAGGATCTTTGTGTGGTGTGTGTGAGCATTTATGAGCATTGTGACCCCTCCTGTGTGACCCCTCCTGTGTGACCCCCCCCACCACGTGACCCCCCCCACCACGTGACCCCCCCACTCTAGGTTCATCCCCCCTGAGCAGGCGTTTGCGGCTACCGAGGGGGCGGCTGGCTGGACCAGCGCCGAGAGCGGTGGGGGAGCCCCTCCCTCCATTGCCCAGGGCAACACTGTCACACAGGTAGCCATAGCAACGCTTACAGCCCTGCCTCCCCTCCATTGCCCGGGGCAACACTGTCACACAGGTAACCATAGCAACGCTCACAGCCCCGCCTCCCCTCCATTGCCCGGGGCAACACAGGTAACCATAGCAACGCTTACAGCCCCCCCTCCCCTCCATTGCCCGGGGCAACACAGTCACACAGGTAACCATAGCAACGCTTACAGCACCCCCCCCCCCCGCCCTCTCCCCCTCCATCTCCCAGGGAAACACAGTTGTGCAGGTAACCATGGCAACACTCGCATGCCCTTCACCACCCCCACCTCCTCCCAGGGAAATAGTTACCCAGGTAACCATGGTAACGCTCACAGCCCCCCTCCCCCGTTGCCGGGGAATCAAGAGTTCACACCCAAGACAAAGCGACGAGGATTTGCCCTGTAGCCCACACAGGCTGTTGGGGCAAGCGCCATTATCGAGCACGCGGTGATGTTCACTGCACGTACCGCACCAGATGCTCATTTAAGACTGAGGCGACCTAGGGGAGGCCCAGGACCACTTTGGGTATTCGTCAACGATGTCAGCGGGAAGTTTGGGTAGCAGCACCTATGAAGGCCGGCACTGTGGCACACGTGGGGGTGGGTGACCAGCACCACACACACCTGGGGTGGGTGGCCAGCACCACACACACGTGAGGGTGGGTGACCAGCACCACACACACGTGGGGGTGGGTGACCAGAAACACACACACGTGGGGGTGGGTGACCACCACCCCACACACCTGGGGGTGGGTGACCAGCACCACACACACGTGGGGGTGGGTGACCACCACCACACACACCTGGAGGTGGGTGACCACCACCCACACACACGTGAGGGTGGGTGACCAGCACCACACACACCTGGGGGTGGGTGACCAGAACCACACACACGTGGGGGTGGGTGACCACCACCCCACACACCTGGGGGTGGGTGACCAGCACCACACACACGTGGGGGCTGGTGACCAGCACCACACACACGTGGGGGTGGGTGACCACCACCACACACACCTGGGGGTGGGTGACCACCACCCACACACACGTGAGGGTGGGTGACCAGCACCACACACACCTGGGGGTGGGTGACCAGCACCACACACACGTGGGGGTGGGTGACCACCACCCCACACACCTGGGGGTGGGTGACCACCACCCCACACACCTGGGGGTGGGTGACCACCACCACACACACCTGGGGGTGGGTGACCACCACCCCACACACCTGGGGGTGGGTGACCACCACCACACACACCTGGGGGTGGGTGACCACCACCCACACACACGTGAGGGTGGGTGACCAGCACCACACACACCTGGGGGTGGGTGACCAGCACCACACACACGTGGGGGTGGGTGACCAGCACCACACACACCTGGGGGTGGGTGACCACCACCCACACACTCGTGGGGGTGGGTGACCACCACCACCCCACGTGTGTGTGGGGGTGGGTGACCACCACCCACACACACGTGGGGTGGGTGACCACCACCACACACACGTGGGGGTGGGTGACCACCACCCACACGTGGGGGTGGGTGACCACCACCCACACACACGTGGGGTGGGTGACCACCACCACACACACCTGGGGGTGGGTGACCAGCACCACACACTCGTGGGGGTGGGTGACCACCACCCACACACACGTGGGGGTGGGTGACCACCACCCCACGTGTGTGTGGGGGTGGGTGGCCAGCACCACACACACACGTGCCAGCTCACCACCATCCCACTCCACTCACATCACTCATCCAAAGACAAAGATCCCCCGTGTTGACTTTAACAGACTGTAGGGGCAAGGGCTGTTAGCGAGTAGTAGCACCTAGGAAGGCCACCGGCACTGTGGCACACGAGGGGGTGGGTGGCCAGCACCACGCCCGGCCGCCTTTGTCTCCCCTAGTGCCAAGGTTTACACACCACACCATTTTGAGGCTGAGCCGACCTTGGGGAGGCCCAGGGCTGGTTTAGTTAATCGTCACTAGGTTCGCCGTTAGCGGGAATCGAACTCTGGTTTCTGCCAGGTTTTCGTAGCTTAGCGTAGCGCTAACCACTGCGCCACCGCTCCTCACACACACTCACTGACAGACACAAAGACACACAGATTGTACACGCTCCGCTGGCCCAGCCGCGACAACATGGAGCGAGGGTGGTTGTTACCGACTTGCCGAGCCAGCCTGACGTCGCACGCAGTGGGGTTCGGGTGTGGCCAGTGGGAAAACCACCACCCGTACCGTGCTGGTTCAGGTGTGCCAGTGGGAAAACCACCACCCGTAACCGTGCTGGTTCAGGTGTGCCAGTGGGAAAGCCACCACCCGTACCGTGCTGGTTCAGTTGTGCCAGTGGGAAAACCACCACCCGTACCGTGCTGGTTCGGGTGTGCCAGTGGGAAAACCACCACACGTAACCATGCTGGTTCAGGTGTGCCAGTGGGAAAACCACCACCCGTACCGTGCTGGTTCAGTTGTGCCAGTGGGAAAACCACCACCCGTAACCGTGCTGGTTCAGGTGTGCCAGTGGGAAAGCCACCACCCGTACCGTGCTGGTTCAGTTGTGCCAGTGGGAAAACCACCACCCGTACCATGCTAGTTCAGGTGTGCCAGTGGGAAAACCACCACCCATACCGTGCTGGTTCAGGTGTGCCAGTGGGAAAACCACCACCCGTAACCGTGCTGGTTTAGGTGTGCCAGTGGGAAAACCACCACCCGTAACCGTGCTGGTGCAAGTGTGCCAGTGGGAAAACCACCACCCGTAACCGTGCTGGTGCAAGTGTGCCAGTGGGAAAACCACCACCCGTAACCGTGCTGGTTTAGGTGTGCCAGTGGGAAAACCACCACCCGTAACCGTGCTGGTGCAAGTGTGCCAGTGGGAAAACCACCACCGTGCTGGCCCCAAGCTGGCTCTGCTCGGCTGTGCAGCAGTGGGAAGTAAGTCGCCCTCCCTGCGTCTCCACCGAGTCACCCCTTTCCCCCCCCGCGGCGTCCTCCCCCCGTGTCGCCCACAGCCCGCCGTGTCGATTCGCCCGCCCAGGCCGGGTGGAGCGAACGTGGCTGCTGTGGTGGCGCCGGCGGCCGCCTCGGCCGTCACCGCCGCCGCCGCCGCCACTTCGGCGGTGGACCTTCTGGGCGACCTCGGAGTCGGAGTGGATGCCGGCCCTGCAGTCAATCCCAGGCTGGGCACGGCGGCCAGAGGCGGACAGCAGGCGGAGTTCACAGCATTCTCCTCCGCGGCCGGTGAGGGGGGAGAGCGAGCGGGGGGAGAGAGGGGGGGAGAGAGCGGGGGGGGGAGAGCGGGGGGGGGGAGAGAGGGGGGAGAGAGAGCGGGGGGGAGAGAGCGGGGGAGAGCGAGAGGGGGGAGAGAGAGGGGGGGAGAGAGAGGGGGGGAGAGCGAGGTGGGGAGAGCGAGAGGGAGAGAGAGAGGTGGGGAGAGCGAGAGGGGGAGCGAGGGGGGGAGAGCGAGCTACTGCTATTCGTCCAAGGTTTGCCGCTCTTCATCCTTTCACAGAAAATACTTGTGCAAACTATAAATTCTACTTTTCTTATTTCTGGGTGGTCTTGAGCTTCATCCTGGCCCAAATGAAAATAACTCGTATAATTCTGTAGATTTTTCTGGCAGGAAAGGTGTTGGTGTTCTACATGTCAACATCAGAGAGCTTGTGAGTAAATTAAGTCAACTCAAACTAGAAGTGGTAAATCTTGACCCGGACATTTTTTGCCTAACAGAAACATTTCTCACTCCTGCCGTCAATGACTTGCAGATTGCGATTGACAACTACCACCTTTTTCGGCTTGACCGAGGATCTAAAGGAGGTGGAATTGCCATCTATGTTCGTAACACTATTGCATGTTCACTAGCTCACTCTTTGTATAAAAAATGTTGCTTTGAAAGTCTGGCTCTCAGAATAACTCTCCCAAATAATCAACAGATATTGGTAGTGTGCTGCTATAGACCGCCTTGTGGGAAGGATGTTGAAGATACATCTGCACTGAGAGAGGTTTTTGGGGGCCTCCCTAAAGGTGAAATAGTTTTAGTGGGTGATCTAAATTGGAATTGGCTAAACCCGCCGGCCGTGGCCACAAATTTTGCAGATGAATTTAACCTGTTTTAATTAATTAATGTCCCCACAAGACCCAACCTAAAAAATCCGGGACAGTCAACTCTGCTTGACGTCCTATTGACAAATGCCCCCACAATTTCACACTGACTGGTGTTCTGGGTAATAACCTGAGTGATCACTCCTTCATTTTTGGGGTGAGATCATCAGCCAGACCCAAAACCCCCCCTAAATTGGTTGAGAAGCACTCTGAGACACTTCAGCACTCAGGCATTTACTAATGATGTGCTTCACTCGGATATTGACAAGGTCTGTGATATCCCCAACCTGACTACGGCTTGGGAGACCTTCAGCTACGCGTTTCTCCAAATTCTTAACAAACATGCTCCGTTGGTTAAATTTTAAACTAAAGGCAACCGCCCACCATAGTTTGATCCTTTGATTACAAAGCTCATGAAAACTAGGGACAAGGCTTGAACATGTGCTCAGAAAAGTAATTTTGTCAATGACTGGCTGAATGCAGGATTTTAAGAAATAGATGCGTCAAAAGAATACGGCATGCAAAAAAATGCCTACTTTTCCTCCACTCTCCTGGAATTACATGGAAATGCCAGGATTTTTTAGGAAACAATCAAATGTATCGAAAAGGCATCCAAAACGGATAATCTGCCCGTTGAGCTTAACCGAAATGGGGAATATTTTTCAGATCCCAAAAAAATAGTTGACAATTTTAACCTTAATTTTTCTGAAGCTGGTAATCTTTTTGATAATGTATTGGGAGTCACCCCTGCTCATGCAAATTCCTACACCCCTGTCCAAACATTAAACGAATTTAGTTTCCAGCCAATCTATGAAAGTAATGTTCTGAAGCAACTGTCCTACCTCAAAGGGTCCTCCTCTACCGGAGCAGATAGTTTTCCCGTCTTTGCTCTACTAACTGTTGGTCACCTAATATACAAACCTATAGCCCATATTTTCAACCTGTCCATCAAAGAAGCATCAGTTCCTCTAGAATGGAAACATTCCTATGTCCGTCCACTTCACAATGGGGGCCCTAAAGATGATCCCAATAACTACTGACCTATCTCAATTTTGTCCCTGTTGATGAACATTTTTGAAAAATTATTGAACTACCAAATTAGCAGTTACCTGTCCACCAACAATCTACTACATCTAAAACAATCTGGGTTCCGAAAAAAATACCACACCACATCTGCTGCATTAGACTCCCTGAATCACATTTACAGTAGCCTTGATAATAAGCAGTACTGTGCCTGTCTTTTTCTTGACCTGTCCGAAGCTTTTAATACAGTAGACCACAACACCCTGCTTAGTAAACTAAGCTGCCTCGGTTTTTCCGAAAAAGCAGTAAAATAGTTACAAAATTACCTCTTCTCACACCCAAACTGTATTCACAGATGGTTGGAGGTCAAACAGTGTTAAGATAACAAAAGGGGTTCCACAGGGTTCCATCCTCGGCCCCCTTTTGTTCTCTCTTTATGTCAATGACTTGGGCACTGACCTGGATCATTCCAGGGTAGATCTTTTTGCAGATGACACGATACTGATTACTGCTGGCCGCTCTCCGGATGATGTAATTGCTAAGCTCCAGGGTGATTTAAACAAACTACAACATCAGCTAGTTGCTCTTAAACTAGTCCTGAATACCTCCAAAACCAAGGTGCTATGCTTCTCACCAGGACTAAAGCAGAAAGTTATTTTTCCCCAATTACATTCCTTAAATAATTATCAAATAGAGCAAGTCAAGATCTATAAGTATCTTGGGGTCATCCTGGATTCAAAACTGGATTTTGAAGATCACATTCATTATATTGGTAAAAAGACAAAAATAAAAATTGGTTTTCTGTATCGACACAAGCACTGCTTCCCCCCAATGTTCCGTTTAGAATTTATAAAAGCTACCATACTGCCTCTACTTGACTACTGTGACATCGTGTATAAATCAGCCCCTAGTACTGTACTGAAGAAGCTTGATTCCATCTATCACTCGGCCTTGAGATTTACATTGAACTGCCCATATAGGACTCACCACTGTGATCTCTACATTGGGTAAAACTTAACATCTCTTAATGTTCGACGGCTTGTGCACCAGATCTTATTTATTCACGATGTACTTTCAAAAAAATCCGCAGACTACCTGCTGGATCTCCTCTCTGTTTCAAAGAACAAATTTGACCTCAGGTCTTCGCTCATTTACCAGCTTCACATTCCCTATTGCTGTACAAAAACTGCTATTGATGCCCCCAGGGTCTGGAATGCCATTGCCAATAAACTGCAACTTGAATCGCTACCAATGAAATCTTCTCTCAAAACTGCTCTAGAGGAGTTGTACACCCCTAGCTGCCACTGCTATTCATTGGCGTAAAATAAAATAAAATGTTTCGCTCTGGATGACGCTGCAAAGTATTATCTGTATTTTGATTTGGTGTGCTGAGGTTAAAGGTGCCTTGAAAAATTTGACACTCTGACTGATGCTTCTGTTGTTATGGAGTAACTCATGCAGCCAGCAATGGCTCTAGGATTTGGTGTTACATGTTATTTATGTAGTTTATTGTAAAAATTCGGTCACAGCCCCTGTGATCACTGTTACGTTGCAATTATGGCTTTATTTTTTGGTGATTTCGAAAAGGTTTTTTGGTTTGGACATGGTTGTTTTGTTGTAGTACGGAGGTAGACTGATGGCCTTAATCTAAGTTGTCTTGTGGTTCTTGTTGTTTGACTTGCATCCCACTAGGATTTTTTGCACACAGCGTTGGTGTACGGTGCTTTTTTCAGGAATATTTTGCTGTTTTTTTTCCTGGATTTTCTGTTTGCACAGTCACAGAGTCACTTTAAGATGTTTTTCTTGTTCGTGTTTTTGTTTTTTTGTTTGTTGTGGTTGCACCCGATTCAAGAGCCGAATGGCTCACAGGGCTATACCAAAATAAAAAAACTTAAAAAAATAAAAAATAGGTGCTGCTGATACTCGCTACTCACAGCACTTGCCCCTACAGTCTGTTAGAGGCTACACAGGGGATCTTTGTCTGTGTCTACCTTCATAGGTGCTGCTGCTACTCGCTACTCACAGCACTTGCCCCTACAGTCTGTTAGAGGCTACACGGGGGACATTTGTCTGTGTCTACCTTCACAGGTGCTGCTGCTACTCGCTACTCATGGCACTTGTCCCAACAGTCTGTTTATGCTACATGGGGGATCTTTGTCTTTATGCTGAACCTTTGGCCTCTGACCTCTGCCCCTTCCCTGTCCCCTGTGCAGGAGGAGCAAGTTCCGGGTTCGCTGACTTTGACGCCTTCGGTTCATCTGACTTTGGTGGCTTCGTGAAGCCCAGCCAGAGCTTCCCTGGGCCGGCACAGTGTGAGTGTGTGTGTGCGAGTGTGTGAGTGTGTTAGTGTATGAGTGTGTGTGAGTGTGTGAGTGTGTGTATGCGAGTGTGTGAGTGCGTGAGTGTGTGAGTGTGTGTGTGAGTGTGTTAGTGTATGAGTGTGAGTGTGTGTGTGCGAGAGTGTGTGAGTGTGTAAGTGTAAGTGTGTGAGTGTGTAAGTGTAAGTGTATGAGTGTGTGTGTGTGTGTGTAAGTGTGTGAGTGTGTGTGAGTGTGGTGTAGCAGTTAGCGCGCTGCACTACAAACCTGGCGACCCGGGTTCGATTCTCGCTCACGGCCAACACCAGTAACGATTATCTGAAACGGTCCTGGGCCTCCCCTAGGTCGACTCAGCCTGCAATGAGTACCTGGTGCGGTGTAGTAAACATCGCCACTGGGGAGACAAAGGCGGTCGGGCGTGGTGCTGGCCACCCACCCCCTCGTGTGCCGTTCCAGCCTTCATAGGTGCTCGCTAACAGCACTTGCCCCTACAGTCTGTTAAGGCTATATGGGAATCTTTGTAAGTGTGTGTGAGTGTTTTTGAGTGTGTGTGTGTGTGTGTGAGTGTTTGTGAGTGTGAATGTGAGTGTGTGTGAATGTGAGTGTGTGTGTGAATCTCAACCCTCGGGGCTCCTCCAGAAACAACGAAAAGTCACTTCGTTTGGCCACGTGGAATGTTCGAACGCTCACTGCGGAGGAGAGGCTGCCACTCCTCTGTCGGGAGCTGGACCGGTACCGCCTGGATCTCTGTGGCATTCAGGAGGTCCGGTGGACCGGTTCTGGCTCCTGCCACCATTAGGGGTGGACAGTTCTCTACTCGGGACAGGAGATTGCCAAACAACAGGGTGTGGTTCTTCTTTTGAACAAAAGAATGAAGGGGGCGTGGGAGCGTGGCGGTGAGGTGTGGGAAGCTGTAAGCCCCAGGCTACTTTGGGCTCGCCTTCCCATCAATCAGAGGCGAGGATTGGTGGTCGTGGTTACTTATGCCCCTACCGAAGATGAACATCCGTGGAGGGATGCAGGCAAAGCCGATGAGTCAGATGCCTTCTATGACCTCCTGTCACAGGTGCTGGCTAAAGTGGCCCCTCGGGATAGAGTCATCTTGTTGGGTGACTTCAAAGCCCGAGTTGGTCATGATGCTGGCACCTGGCCTGGAGTGATTGGAGGGCATGGGCCGGATCAGCTTAATAACAACGGTAGGAGGCTGCTAGATTTTTGTGCAGCCCATGGACTTGTAATTACCAACACGCTGTTCCGGCATCGGCGCATCCACACAACATCATGGATGCATGCCGGGTCCAAGCAAGAACATCTGCTGGACTACATTGTGACGGACCAGCGGATGCGAGCCCATGTCCTTGACACCAGGACCTACCGTGGAGCTGATCTGCCCTCTGACCATTGACTTATCATCTGTAAGATGCGCCGCCCATTCTTCCGCTCCGGTGGTGGGTGTACACCCAGGACCCCATTCCAACCTAAAGTGGCCTGGTCTCAGTTATCTGATGAAAGTTGCAAGCGAGAATTTCATCATCGCCTGCGGCTGGGGTTGGCATCGTCCCCCACTCCTCCTGATGTCGAGGGTAAATGGGCGAAATTTAGAACTGTGACTCATGCGGCTGCAATGTCTGCTTTGGGTACGCGGTCAGGATCTCCCCAGAGACCCTGGCTGACAGAGGAGGTGTTCAGGATGGTTGAGAAAAAGCGACAGGCCCACTGTCATCGGCTACAGAATCCCACGTCAGAGAATGAGGAACCTTCGCTCGGAGGTTCGGAGAGCCGTGAGGCGCTGCAAGGATGGGTGGTGGTTGCAGGTTGCTGAGGAGATGGAGTCTGCCTCAGTGGCCCGCGATCACAAATCTCTATTTAACTCCATCAAAAAAGTAACCTGCAGCGCCACACCTATTACCATCATTAGGGGAAAAAACGGTGATCCAATCTCCGGCCCCCAGGAACAGGTTTGCAGATTTGCTGAGCATTTCTGTGAGGTCCTGGGCGAGGGAAAATCCCTCAGCCAGGAAAACATCGTTGCACAAAGTGAGGATGACCCTACTGAGGCTGCGGTGCCTCAAATATTGGAAGGAGTCTCCCCCTGTGAGTGGCTGGCTGAAGTGCCAGGTGTTGAGGAAGTACTGAGGGCGATCCGGATTCTGAGACCAGGAAAAGCAGCGGGCAGAGATGATCTCCCAAGCGAAATGCTGAGGGAGGGTGGAGTTTGTGCACAGACTGCCCTATATGACATCATAACAACAGTCTGGACCACTGGACGGGTTCTGCAGGATTGGAAGGATGCCCTGGTGGTCCCCCTCTTTAGGAAGGGGGACCGCACAGACTGTAACAACTACAGGGGCATTTCACTCCTCAGTGTGCCGGGAAAGGTCCTGGCAAGGATTATTCAACATCGCCTTGCCAGGCACGCTGAGGAGAGGCTTGCGGAGCCCCAATGCGGTTTCAGGAATGGGCGGTCCTGTACAGATGCCATATTTTCTGTCCGTCTGCTACAGCAGAGGTGTAGGGAATTCCAGCAAGACCTACATCTCTGCTTTATTGACCTGGTCAAGGCCTATGATACCATCAATAGGTCTGGGCTCTGGGTTGTTCTTCATGCTTTTGGAGTACCTGACCCTCTGCTCACGATCATTAAGGACCTTCATGATGGTGAGTGGGCCCGGGTAACACTACGTGGCCGGGAGTCCGAGCCTTTCCCTGTACACCTTGGGGTGCGACAGGGATGTCCTCTGGCTCCCACATTATTTAACATCTATTTCGACCACGTAGTTCGTGAAGCCTTCAATAGCTGTACCGGGGGAATCTCCATATGGTACAGATATAATGGGAGGCTGATCGATGCCCGGGTGCGGTCAAGGGATGGCTCCCTATTGCTCAACCACGTTATGTATGCTGATGATTTGGTAATAGCTGCTCATTCAGAGGAGGAGTTGGAGACGCTGCTGCTGAGACTGGAGCGTGCCACTGAGAGATGGGGCCTTACCATCAGCCCCACCAAAACTAAGCACCTGCCTGGGTATTTTGTACCATCGGACACTCCACCCCCACAACTCCCAATCGGTGATGGGGCAGTTGTGCAGAGAGTGGAGAGTTTCCCATACCTGGGAAGTGTGCTTATGACCAGCTCCAGTTTAACAGCAGAGGTCTCACTCCGAATCAGTCGAGCGGCAATATCTTTTCATCGGTTGCGTAATGCTGTGTGGAAGCTACCTGATCTGTCGCTCCGCACTAAGCTTCAGGTCTTCTCGGCCACAGTCATTCTCTCCCTTCTCTACGCTTGCGAAACGTGGACCCCCCTAATGGAACATCTTCGCCGGTTAGAAACATTTAGGCTGGCCTACCTACGATCCATCCTGGGTTTAACCAGACTGGATTGTGTGAGGAGCTCACAAATCCTTGAAAGATCTGGGCAAGGTCCCATCGGTGAGCTCCTCCGGCAGGCAAGGCTGCGATGGCTGGGTCATGTAGCCTGCATGCCCAGCCACCGCATGCCGAAACAGCTTTTGTTCGGCCGGATCGAGAGGGCTAAACGGGCGCGGCACGGGCTAAAGAAGAGATGGAGTGATGTGGTACAGGAGGACGTGGAGCTGAGTGGACTTGCCGATGACTGGTACCAGCGGTGTCAAGATCGGCCTCTGTGGACGAGGCTCGTGAAGGACGCTACTGGGCAGTTGGAGGCAGTCGTCCTCCAACAACAACGGAGGGCGGAGGAGCGCTGCTCACAACAACGAGCGGAGCGCCGAGTGGCTGACGCACAGCGGATTGCCACAGTAGGGGGCACAGGTGGTGCATCAGCCACTCATCTCAGTCAGTCGACCCGTGGCACCTGGGTCTGCCCCCTGACCTCCTGCCAGCGGGCGTTCGACACTTCACGTGGCCTCAAGTTGCACATGTCCTGGCACAAGCGTCGTGGTGACGTCACCGCCACTTAGTGGCGAATGGCGGTTGTTGTTGGTGTGTGAGTGTGAGTGAGGGTGTGTGTGAGTGTGAGTGAGTGTGTGAGTGAGTGTGTGAATGTGAGTTTGTGTGAATGTGAGTGTGTGTGAGTGAGTGTGTGTGAATGTGTGTGTGAGTATGTGAATGTGAGTGTGTGAATGTGAGTGTGCGAGTGTGTGTGAGTGAGTGTGTGTGAGTGTGTGAGTATGCGAGTGTGTGTGAGTGCGGGAGCGGTAGTGTAGTAGTTAGCATGTTGCGCTATTAACCTGGCGACCCGGGTTCAATTCCCACCTCATGGCCAACACCGGTGACGATCATCTGAACCGGTTCTGGGCCTCCCCTAGGTCGACTCGGCCTCAAATGAGTACCTGGTGCGATGTGTAAGCATTGCCACTAGGGAGACAAAGGCGGCTGGGCGTGGTGCTGGCCACCCACCCCCTAGTGTACCGTTCCGGCCTTTATAGGTGCTCGCTAACAGCACTTGCCCCTACAGTCTATTAAGGCTATATGGGGGATCTTTGTTGTGTGAGTGCATGAGTGAGCGCGTGTGTGGAGCGGTGGTGCAGCGGTTAGCGTGCTGCGCTCTGAACCTGGCAGACACCAGACTTTAATTCCCGTTCACGGCCATCAACATCGGCGATGATTATCTGAACAACCGATCCTGGGCCGCCTGTGGGTCGACTCAGCCTCAAATGATTACCTGGTGCAGCGTGTAAACATCGCCACCGGGGATACAAAGGCGTCCGGGCGGGTGTGTCGCCGGCCACCCCACCCCCTCATGTGCTGTTCCAGCTGCCAGCACTTGCCCCAACAGCCGTGAAGGCTACACGGGGGACCTTTGTCTTGGTTGCCTCTGAGTTGGTTGCATGCACTGAGGCGCCGGTGTTGTGATGCACCTCCCCCTAACCCCCCTCCCCCTAACCCCTCCCCCGCAGGTTCCACAGCAGCAGGCCCCTCGCCCTTCTCCCCGTTTGAAGGCTTCCCCAAGTCGTCCACCATCGACTTCAGCACCGTGGGGGTCCACCACGGGGGGGCCCCCCTCCTCGTCAACGCAGCAGGGGGCCCAAGGGGCCCCCCCCGCCCCGTCAACGCAGCAGCAGGGGGCCCCAGGCGGGGCGAACGCCGACCGCTATGCAGCGCTGGCCGACCTGGACAACCTGTTTGGAGCAGGTGAGGGTGACCCTGTGTGGAGCCAGCCATGCTAATGGGAGGGTGGGTGGGTGACCACGTGAGTTGCTGAGTGACTGTGTGAGTGGGTGAGTGACTGTGTGAGTGGGTGAGTGACTGTGTGAGTGACTGTGTGAGTGACTGAGTGGGTGAGTGACTGTGTGAGTGGGTGAGTGGCTATTTGAGTGGGTGAGTGACTATGTGAGTGGGTGAGTTGCTATTTGAGTGGGTGAGTGACTGTGTGAGTGGGCCAGTGGCTGTGTGAGTGGGTGAGTGACTATGTGAGTGGGTGAGTGACTGCGTGAGTGGGCAAGTGACTGTGTGAGTGGGTGAGTGACTATGTGAGTGGGTGAGTGACTGTGTGAGTGGGTGAGTGACTGTGTGAGTGGGTGAGTGACTGTGTGAGTGGGTGAGTGACTGTGTGAGTGGGTGAGTGACTGTGTGAGTGGGTGAGTGGCTGTGTGAGTGGGTGAGTGGCTGTGTGAGTGACTGTGTGAGTGGGTGGGTGACCACGTGAGTTGCTGAGTAACTATGTGAGTGGGTGAGTTGCTATTTGAGTGGGTGAGTGCTATGTGAGTGGGTGAGTGGCTATGTGAGTGGGCGAGTGGCTATGTGAGTGGGTGAGTTGCTATTTGAGTGGGTGAGTGACTGTGTGAGTGGGTCAGTGGCTGTGAGTGGGTGAGTGACTATGTGAGTGGGTGAGTGACTATGTGAGTGGGTGAGTGACTATGTGAGTGGGTGAGTGACTGTGTGAGTGGGTAAGTGACTGTGTGAGTGGGTGAGTGCCTGTGTGAGTGGGTGAGTGGCTGTGTGAGTGGGTGAGTGGCTGTGTGAGTGAGTGAAATGGCTGCACAAGTGGGTGAGTGACCATGTGAGTCTATGTGTGTGTGTATATTAAACTTATTTCGCACCGTACATCGACGGCTATGCTAATCGGAGGTGCGGACCTTGGCGCATAGCCTCAGGTTGTTTTGCCAGGTTTTGAACATCGGGTTTGGTTGTGTGTTGCCTATGACCGCCCGAGCCAAACCGGTAAACACCGGTTTTCAGTCGCACGCAGAGAACCACTTCTGAACACGGCTGACCGGTTACCGGTTACGCAACCGCGGCTGTTTTTCCACCGCAGAAGCCGAGTCGTTATCCCAGCACCACCTTGGCCCTGCTCGGCCCAGAGCCAGACTCGGAGGTCCTCCTTTGAGGCCACCACCAGTACCGTGATAGCACCACGCTGGCTCGGGTGTGGCCAGTGGGAAAACCACCACCAGTACCGTGCTGGTCTCACACTGCCAGTGGGAAAACCACCACCAGTACCGTGCTGGTTTAGGTGTGCCAGTGGGAAAACCACCACCAGTACCGTGCTGGTTTAGGTGTGCCAGTGGAAAAACCACCACCAGTACCGTGCTGGTCTCACACTGCCAGTGGAAAAACCACCACCAGTACCGTGCTGGTCTCACACTGGCTCGGGTGTGGGGCCAGTGGGAAAACCACCACCAGTACCGTGCTGGTCTCACACTGCCAGTGGGAAAACCGCCACCAGTACCGTGATAGCACCACACTGGCTTGGGTGTGGCCAGTGGGAAAACCACCACCAGTACCGTGCCGGCCCCGCGCTGGCTCGGGTGTGGCCAGTGGGAAAACCGCCACCCGTACCGTGCTGATCTAGAGCACTCTATTGTACATATTTTTTTAATTTGCTGTATTGTACTTTTTTATGCGACCTGTTGCAAACGTGTTTTTATTTTACGGTTTTTCTGTTTTGTTAATGAAACCCGATTCAAGAGCTTCTTAGCTCACAGGACAATTCTAAAGAAAGTGTTCTACTCTTCAAATCTAAGTTGATTGCAGAGAAGCAATGGGGCCGTTTTAGAGTATACAATATCAAGTAAAACATTGGATTGCGAGTAACTTGGCCTGCGAGTGTTTTGCAAGAGGAGCAAAAAATGTTAAATAAATATTAATTTGGTGAACGAACGAGGTCTTGCAATACGAGCAGTAGTACGTACAGTACACGCTTTGTACTGCCGAGCGTCACGTGATCACACAACTGATATACGAGTGCTTTGATATACGAGTGCTTTGGATTACAAACACGTTTCCGGAACGAATACTGCTCGCAATCCAAGATTTCACTGTATACGCTTGTAAAGTACCGTAGGTACAGACTGCTGCTAGAGTCTGCAGGATACAGAGGTAGAGTATCGCACGTGCAGACTGTCGCTACAGTATAGAGCTTACAGCGGTACAGTACCGTAGCTGCAGACTGCCGCTTGCACCACCAGTCGGCCGCGTCCTGAAGCTCCCATCAACAAGGACGATGGATCTACGAGAAACACACAGCAAGATGCCAGATGGCTGTCGGAATGTTTCCGAATACGCGAAGGGATGTTTTTAGAGTAAAACCTTGGATTGCGAGCATAATTCGTTCCGGAAACGTGTTTGTAATATCCAAAGCACTCGTACATCAGTTGTGATCACGTGACGCTCGGCAGTACAAAGCGTGTACACGTACTACTACTCGTACTGCTAAGACCCTCGCTCGTTTATCAAATTAATATTTACTTAACATTTTTTGCTCCTCTGGCAAAACACTCGCAGGCCAAGTTACTCGCAATCCAAGGTTTCACGGTACTTGTTGTCTATATATGGACCGTGCGTATGTTGCACTTTCTTGGCACCGTACGTAACCGACCGCGCTAATCGGACGCGCGGGGGAAGGACAACAAGCTGAGCACAAAAAGCAGTCCTCAAGGAATTCGTTTGTCAATCTAGATGATGATTTAAAAGTGCACAGCTCCAGCGGCTCCCTAACATCGGAAGGAAGAGCGTTCCAGATGGCCGCAGACGTGCATCTGAAAGCGCATGATGCAGTGACTGCCTCTGTCCGATGGCTAGCCAAAAGCTGCTGCTGCGAGGGTGCCCGGAGTTTGCTCGATGATTGTTTATGCTCCACGACAGATGCCGGTTGATTAGAGAGCATTCTGGATGGTAAGGTTCCTGATAACAGAGCTTTTGCTGTAATGGGTTCCCGTGCGAAGTCCGTGTGTTTCCACGTCTGTCCGAGTGTCTCCGAGTCAAGCTGGGCATGTGGCTGTCTGTGTGCGCAGGGCCGGCGTCACAGGGTGCTGAGGGCAGCCGGGCCTCCCAGGCCGCCCTAGCCGGAGACCCCTTCGCTTCCGGGTCAAAAGCAAGCCACGGATTCACGTCGGCGGCCCCGCCGTTCGCTTCGGGGGCTGCCCCAGGGCACGCCTTCAATTCCGGGGCGACAGGAAGTCAGGGCTTCACTTCCGGGGCGGCAGGAAGTCAAGCGTTGTTCACTTCCGGGGCGACAGGAAGTCAGGCGTTCCCTTCTGGCGTGGACGTGCAGAGCTTCCCCGCGGCCACGAGAGTGAATCCCTTCCAGACGAATGGTGCGCAGACACACCACGGACACCTCACGCACCCACCACCGGACCACGCCACACTACACAGCACCGTGTAACCACACTACACTACACCATGTAACCATACCATGCTACCCCGTCTAACCACACTGCACCATGCAACCACAACACACCACGCTACACCGTGTAACCATACCATGCTATATCACGCTACACCGGTTAATCACACCATGGTATACCACGCGATACCATGTAACTACACTGCTATACCACGCTATACCATGTAACCACACCATACTACACCATGTAACCAAAACATGCAACACCGTGTAACCACACCACGCTACACCGTGTAACCACACCACGCTACACCATGTAACCACACCATGCTACACGGTGTAACCACACCACGCTACACCGTGTAACCACACCACACTACACCGTGTAACTACACCACGCTACACCGTGTAACCACACCACGCTACACCGTGTAACTACACCACGCTACACCGTGTAACTACACCACGCTACACCGTGGAACTGCACCAGGCTACACCGTGTAACCGCACCACGCTACACCGTGTAACCGCACCACGCTACACCATGTAACCACACCACGCTACACCGTGTAACCACACCACGCTACACCGTGTAACCACACCACGCTACACCGTGTAACCACACCACGCTACACCGTGTAACCACACCACGCTACACCGTGTAACCACACCACGCTACACCGTGTAACCACACCACGCTACACCGTGTAACCACACCGCGCTACACCGTGTAACCACACCGCGCTACACCGTGTAACCACACCGCGCTACACCGTGTAACCACACCACGCTACACCGTGTAACCACACCATGCTACACCGTGTAACCACACCACGCTACACCGTGTAACCACACCATGCTACACAATGTGAGTCTATGTACATGCGTGTCAATATGAGTGTTTGTCAGTGTGAGTATTTCTACGTGTGTGTCAGTGTCTTTGTCAATGTGAGTCTCTGTATGTGAATGTGAATATGTCTGTGTCAGTGTGGGGAGCGGTAGTGGTAGCGGTTAGCACGCTACACTACGAACCCGGCGACCCAAGTTTGATCCCCGCTCAAGGCCAGCACCTGTGACGATTATCTGAACCGGTCATAGGCCCCCACTCCTAGGTCGACTCAGCCTCAAATGAGTACCTGGTGCGGTGTGTAGTAAACATCACCACCCACCCCATTATGTGCCGTGCCAGCCTTCATAGGTGCCACTCGCTAACAGCACTTGCTCCAACAGTCTGTTAAGGCTATATGGGGGAGATCTTTCTGTCGGTGTGAGTGACCGTGTGGAGCTGTGTGTGAGTGGGATTGTGTGTTGTGAAAATGTGTGCGTGTGTGTGTCAAAGTAGGTGCTTGCAGTCTGTTGTTGATCTTTGCCTGTAGGTGTATGTATCAAGGTGTGTTGTGTTGGTGCGTCAAGATAACGCTAATGATTGTTTAGCTTGCTTAGCCTTGCGTGCGTGTGAGCCAACACGTGCGTCTGTGTCCAGTATTTGTGTCTGTATTGTGTCCTCATGTCTGTGTGTCTATGTAACTGTCTGTGTGTGTTCGTGTTTGTGTGCATTGTTACGTTTTTATATTGTAATGTGTACAGTCGTGCACAGTACAGCCTCGTGTGGCTTACTGCACAGTGTTCAGTAGTGTGTCATACCGTCACGTGTTGTGTACTGTAGTGTGTGGTGTACTGTGGTTTGTGTAGTGTAATGTGTGGTGTACTGTGGCTTGTGTAGTGTGTGGTGTACTGTGGCTTGTGTAGTGTAGTGTGTGGTGTCCTGTGGCTTGTATAGTGTAGTGTGTGGTGTACTGTGGCTTGTATGGTGTAGTGTGTGGTGTACTGTGGCTTGTGTAGTGTAGTGTGTGGTGTACTGTGGCTTGTGTAGTGTAGTGTGTGGTGTACTGTGGCTTGTGTAGTGTGTGATGTACTGTGGCTTGTATAGTGTAGTGTGTGGTGTACTGTGGTTTGTATAGTGTGTGTGGTGTACTGTGGCTTGTGTAGTGTAGTGTGTGGTGTACTGTGGCTTGTATAGTGTAGTGTGTGGTGTACTGTGGCTTGTATGGTGTAGTGTGTGGTGTACTGTGGCTTGTATAGTGTAGTGTGTGGTGTACTGTGGCTTGTATAGCGTAGTGTGTGGTGTACTGTGGCTTGTATAGTGTAGTGTGTGGTGTACTGTGGCTTGTATGGTGTAGTGTGTGGTGTACTGTGGCTTGTATGGTGTAGTGTGTGGTGTACTGTGGCTTGTATAGTGTAGTGTGTGGTGTACTGTGGCTTGTATAGTGTAGTGTGTGGTGTACTGTGGCTTGTATGGTGTAGTGTGTGGTGTACTGTGGCTTCTATAGTGTAGTGTGTGGTGTACTGTGGTTTGTATAGTGTGTGTGGTGTACTGTGGTTTGTATGGTGTAGTGTGTGGTGTACTGTGGCTTGTATAGTGTAGTGTGTGGTGTACTGTGGCTTGTATGGTGTAGTGTGTGGTGTAATTTGGCTTGTATAGTGTAGTGTGTGGTGTACTGTGGCTTGTATAGTGTAGTGTGTGGTGTACTGTGGCTTGTATGGTGTAGTGTGTGGTGTACTGTGGCTTGTATAGTGTAGTGTGTGGTGTACTGTGGCTTGTATGGTGTAGTGTGTGGTGTACTGTGGCTTGTATAGTGTAGTGTGTGGTGTACTGTGGCTTGTATAGTGTAGTGTGTGGTGTACTGTGGCTTGTATAGTGTAGTGTGTGGTGTACTGTGGCTTGTATAGTGTAGTGTGTGGTGTACTGTGGTTTGTATAGTGTAGTGTGTGGTGTACTGTGGCTTGTATAGTGTAGTGTGTGGTGTACTGTGGCTTGTATGGTGTAGTGTGTGGTGTACTGTGGTTTGTATAGTGTAGTGTGTGGTGTACTGTGGCTTCTATAGTGTAGTGTGTGGTGTACTGTGGTTTGTATAGTGTGTGTGGTGTACTGTGGTTTGTATAGTGTAGTGTGTGGTGTAATTTGGCTTGTATAGTGTAGTGTGTGGTGTACTGTGGCTTGTATGGTGTAGTGTGTGGTGTACTGTGGCTTGTATGGTGTAGTGTGTGGTGTACTGTGGTTTGTATAGTGTAGTGTGTGGTGTAATTTGGCTTGTATAGTGTAGTGTGTGGTGTACTGTGGCTTGTATAGTGTAGTGTGTGGTGTACTGTGGTTTGTATAGTGTGTGTGGTGTACTGTGGCTAGTGGAGTGTGTGGTGTACTGTGGCTTGTATAGTGTAGTGTGTGGTGTACTGTGACTTGTATAGTGTAGTGTGTGGTGTACTGTGGCTTGTATAGTGTGTGGTGTACTGTGGCTTGTGTAATGTATTGTGTAGTGTACTGTGGCTTGTATAGTGTAGTGTGTGGTGTACTGTGGCTTGTATAGTGTAGTGTGTGGTGTACTGTGGCTTGTATAGTGTAGTGTGTGGTGTACTGTGGCTTGTATAGTGTAGTGTGTGGTGTACTGTGGCTTGTGTAGTGTAGTATGTGGTGTACTGTGGCTTGTATAGTGTAGTGTGTGGTGTACTGTGGCTTGTATGGTGTAGTGTGTGGTGTGCTACAGTGTGTGCAATGCGGCACAGTTGGTGTGCATGTGGTGCAGGCTGTGTGTGTGTGTAGATCTTGATATTTGGTGGTACAGGCCGTGTATGTAAGTTGCGCGGGCTATGTGTGTGTGGTGGGCATTTTTGTGGCAAGGTTAGTGTGTGAGAGGGCACTTCTACCAAGCACCATGATGGAAACACTGCAATAAGCTCGTGCTGGAGGTCCCAGGCAGACAGGCCTTCATGATGCCTTTTGGCCAAAATCCATCTGGCAGAGCCAGACTGAACCCCCCCCTCCCCTCTCACGGTTCCTCCAGGAACAGGAGAACACCGCGATTGGCCACGTGGAATGTTCGAATGCTCATTGCGGAGGAGAGGCTGCCACTCCTCTGTCGGGAGCTGGACCCGGTACCGCCTGGATCTCTGTGGCATTCAGGAGGTCCGATGGATCGGTTCTGGCTCCTGCCACCATGAGGGGTGGACAGTTCTCCACTCGGGGAAGGAAACTGCAAAACAACAGGGAGTGGGCATCTCGTTTGAACAAAAGAATGAAGGGGTTTTTGGAGCGATGCGGTGAGGTTTGGGAAGCTGTAAGCCCCAGACTGCTGGAGGCTCTCTCCTCCCTATCAACAAGAGGCGAGGTATGGTGGTGTTGGTTGCTTATGCCCCCACAGAAGTTGAACATCAGTGGAGGGATGCAGATAAAGTCAATGAGGCAGATGCCTTCTAGAACCTCCTGTCCAACGTGCTAGCTAAATTGGCCCCTCGGAACAGAGTCATCCTATCCTGTTGGGGTGACTTTAATGCCTGAGTCGGTCATCACACAGACATCTGGGTCGCAGTGATTGGAATGCATGGGCCTGACCAGCTCAATAATAAACAGTAGGAGGCTGCTAGACTTTGGTGCAGCCCATGGCCTTGTAATTACCAACATGCTGCTCCGGCATCGGCACATCCACACAAATGTCATGGATACATGCTGGGTCCAAGCAAGAATATCTCCTGGACGACATGGTAATGGCACACGGACCCATGTCTTTGACACCAAAACCGACCGTGGAGCTGATCTGCCCACTGACCATCAGCTTGTAATCTGTAAGATACGTCTGCCATTCTTCCACTCCGGTTGGTGGGTGTCCATCTCGGACCACATTCAAACACACAGTAGCCTGGTTTCAGCTAGCTGAGGGTGGTTTCAAGCAGGAATTTGATCATCGCGCTCAGCAGGGGTTGATATTGTACCCCCTTCCTGCTGATGTTGAGTGGAAATTGGCGAGGTTTAGGACTGTGGTACATTCAGCTGCAATGGTTGCGTTGGGTATGCAGTCCAAACCTCCCCAGAGACTCTGGCTAAAAGGGGAGGTGTTTCCTGGCTGTTTGAGAGAAAACAACAGGCCCACTCTCATTGTCTACGGCACCCCACGGAGAATGAGGAGGCTTACCGCAGCCTACACTTGGAGGTTCGGAGAGCCGTGTGGCGCTGCAAGGATGGGTGTTGCTCACGGGTTGCTGAGGAGATGGAGTCTGCCTCAGTAGCTCGCGATCACAAATCACTCTTTAACTCCATCAAAATGTAATATGCAGCGCCTCACCTATCACCACCTTCAAGGGAAAGAACCGTGACCCGATCTCCGACCACCAGGAACTGGTCTGCAAGTTGTCTTAGGGAAGGGGAAATCCCTCAGCCCAGACAACATCATTGGGCTAGGTAGGGACGACCTTGCTGGGGCTGCGGTGTGTCAAATGTTGGTAGAAGTGGCCACCCGTTTTCTGAATGGTTGGCAGAGGGTCCCATCTGTCGAGGAAGTACAAGGGGTGATCACCCACGCGTGTGTGCACACTGCCCTACCTGACATCATCACAACTGTGTGGACCGCAGGACGGGTTATGCAGGATTGAAAGGATGCCCTGGTGGTGGTCCCCCTCTTTGAGAAAGGGGGACCGCACGGATTGTAACAACTGCAGGTGCATATCTTTTCTCAGTGTGCCGGGAAAGGTCTTGGCAAGACTTAATCAACATTGCCTTGCCAGGCACGCTGAGGAGACGCTTGCTTTGATGGTGTGTTGACTGCTGCTCACTCAGAGGAGGAGTTTGAGGCGCTGCTGCTGAACCTTGAGTGAGCCACTAAGAGGTGTGGGGTCTTGCTCGACCAAAACTAAGCACTTGCCTGGGTATTTTGTGCCATCAAACACTCCACGCCCTCAACTCCCCGTTGGTGATGGGGCAGTTGTGGAGAGAGTGGAGAGTTTCCCATACCTGGGCAGTGTGCTTATGACCAGCTCCGGTTTCACAGCAGAGGTCTCACTCCGAATCAGTCGGGCGGCAATATCTTTTCATCGGTTGCGTAACGCTGTGTGGAAGCTACCTGGTCTGTCGCTCCACATGAAGCTTCAGGTCTTCTTGGCCACAATCTATGCTTGTGAAACATTGGACCCCTCTAATGGAACATCTGCGCTGGTTAGAAACATTTAGGCTGGCCTGCCTACGATCCATCCTGGGTTTAACCAGACTGGATTGTGTGAGGAGCTCACAAATCCTTGAAAGATCTGGGCAAGGTCCCATCGGTGAGCTCCTCCGGCAGGCAAGGCTGCGATGGCTGGGTCATGTAGCCCGCATGCCCAGCCACCGCATGTCGAAACAGCTTTTGTTCGGCCGGATTGAGGGGGCTAAGCGGGCGCGGCACGGGCTAGAGAAGAGATGGAGTGACATGGTACAGGAGGACGTGGAGCTGAGTGGACTTGCCGATGACCGGTACCAGCGGTGTCAAGATCGGCCTCTGTAGAGGAGGCTCGTGAAGGACGCTGCTACTGGGCAGTTTGAGGCAGTCGCCCTCCAGCAACAACGGAGGACAGAGAAGTGATGCTCACAACAACGAGCGGAGCGCTGGGCGGATAAAATGCAACAGGTTGGCACGGCAGGGGGCACAGTTGGTGCATCGGCCAGTCACCTCAATCAACCCATGACACCTGAGTGGCCTGGCACTGAGGCCACATTTCACGTGGCCTCAAAGTGCCTGACACAGGAGCCATGGTGACTTTACTGCCACTTGATGGCGAATGGTGGTTGTTGTGTGTGTGTGTCAGTATGTACTTTTGTGTGTATGAGTGTGTGAGTGTGTCAGTGTGTGAGTGTGAGTGTGTCAGTGTGTAGTGTCAGTGTGTAGTGTCAGTGTGTCAGTGTGAGTGTGTCAGTGTGAGCGTGTCAGTGTGAGCGTGTCAGTGTGTCAGTGTGAGTGTGTCAGTGTGAGCGTGTCAGTGTGAGCGTGTCAGTGTGTCAGTGTGAGTGTGTCAGTGTGAGTGTCTGTTGTTTGCCCCCAGGGTTTATCGGGGCGGCTGATGCGTTTGCTTCCTCAGTGACTGGACTCCCGGTGCAAGCGCAGCAGCAGCAGCAGCATCAACAGCAGCAGCAGCAGCATCATCATCAGCAGCATCACAGCAACTTCCTTGGGCAGCAGGCCTCCTTTCAAGGGCAGCAGATGGCATTTCCAGGGCAGCAGCAGCAACATCACCAGGCCTCCTTCCAAGGGCAGCAGAGCTCTTTTCCGCCGGGGCAGCCACACCAACAGGGCGCCTTCCAGGGGCAGCAGGCCTTCCAGGGGCAGCAGGGCCCCTTCCCCGGGCAGCAACAGCCGCAGCAGCATCCGAGCACCTTCCAAGGGCAGCAGACCTCATTTCCTGCGCAGCAGAGTTTCTTTCCTGGGCAGCAGCAACATCAGCAGCAGCAGCAGCAGCATCATCAGCAGCAGCAGCATCAGCAGCAGCAGCATCATCATCAGCAGCAGCAGAGTTCATTTGCAGGGCAGCAGGGATTTTTTCCGGCTCAGCAAAGTGCATTCCCGAAGCCAGCCGGAATGTTTCCGGGCCAAGGCGGATCCTTTCCCGGAGCCGCTCCGTCGATTCCGTCTCTCCCGGGGACGTACCCGGCTCACCCCGCCTCCTACGGGCAGCAGCCTCCGCCGTACCACGCTCACCAGGCTCCTGCTCACCAGGCTCCTGCTCACCAGGCGGCAGCTCCTCATCCCCACCACGCTGCGCAGGGTCAGCAGAACGGTGAGCGGCGCTCGCGTGACCGGTCGGAGATGGAGGGAAGGGAGGGGAGGGGTGGCGGTGGTGGTGGTGGTGGGGCGAGTGGTGGAGGGTTGGGAGGAGTGGCGTGGAGTGGCGTGGAGTGGCGCTGTGTGGAGTGAAATAGAATTAAATGGCCTGGAGTGGAGTGGTGCTACGTGGAGTGGATTGGAGTGGATTGGAGTAGAGTGGAGTAGAGTGGAGCAGGGTGGAGTAGGGTGGAGTAGAGTGGAGTGGAGTAGGGTGGAGTAGAGTGGTGTAGGGTGGAGTAGGGTGGAGTAGAGTGGAGCAGGGTGGAGCAGGGTGGAGCAGAGTGGTGTAGGGTGGAGTAGGGTGGAGTAGGGTGGAGTAGGGTGGAGTATGGTGGAGTAGGGTGGAGTAGGGTAGGGTGGAGTAGGGTAGGGTGGAGCAGGGTGGAGTAGAGGGGAGCAGGGTGGAGTAGGGTGGAGTAGAGTGGAGTAGGGTGGAGTAGAGTGGAGTAGGGTGGAGTAGAGTGGAGTAGGGTGGAGTAGAGTGGAGTAGGGTGGAGTAGGGTGGAGTAGGGTGGAGTAGGGTGGAGTAGGGTGGAGCAGGGTGGAGTAGGGTGGAGCAGGGTGGAGTAGGGTGGACTGGGTAGGGTGGAGTAGGGTGGAGTAGGGTGAAGTGCTTCCTGAATTGGCCGAGGGAATTGTTGCTACAAGAGCTCTTGGGAAAAAGAGAGTGGGTGGGTGAGTGAACTAGGGGGGATTTGTGTGTGTTGTTGTTGTGTGTACGTTGAACTTCTATCGTATCGTATGTAGCCAGCCGTGCTAATCAGAGGGTGAGTGAGTGGGTGAGTGAGTGACTATGTGGCTCTTCTGAACACAAGAATGAAGGAGGTGTGGAAGCGTGGCGGTGAGGTGTGGGAAGCTAAGCCCCAGGCTACTATGGGCTCGCCTTCCCATCCACCAGAGGTGAGGAGTGGTGGTCGTGGTTACTTATGCCCCCACCGAAGATGAACACCAGTGGTGGGATGCAGGCAAGACCGATGAGTCAGATGCCTTCTATGACCTCCTGTCACAGGTGCTGGCTAAAGTGACCCCTTGGGAAAGAGTCGTCTTGTTGGGTGACTTAAATGCCCTGATGCTGGCACCTGGTCTGGAGTGATTGGAAGGCATGGGCCAGATCAGCTCAATAACAACGGTAGGAGGCTGCGAGACTTTTGTGCATCCCATGGGCTTGTAATTAACAACACGCTGTTCTGGCATCGGCGCATGGATGCACACCGGGTCGAAGCAAAAACATCTGCTGAACTATATCGTGATGGAACAGCGGATGTGGGCCCATGTCCTTGACACTAGGAACTACCATGGAGCTGATCTGCCCACTGACCATTGACTTGTCATCTGTAAGATGCGGCTGCCATTCTTCCACTCCGGTGGTGGGTGTACATCCAGGACCTCATTCATCCACAGTGGCCTGGTCTCAGCTAGCTAATAAAATTTGCAAGCGAGAATTTCATCATCACTTGAATTTGGGGTTGGCATCGTCCCCCTCTCCTCCTCATGCCGAGGAGAAAGAACAGGTTTGCAGATTTGCTGAGCATTTATATGAGGTCTTGGGGGATGGGAAATTCCTCAACCTGGAAAACACCATGGGGGAATATGGGGATGTGACCCTGTTGCGGCTGCGGTGCCTCAAATATTTGAAGAAGTACTCACCCCCTGTGTTGAGTAAGTACAGAAGGCAGTCCAGAGTTAGACCAGGAAAAGTGTCGGACAGAGATGATCTCCCAAGCGAAATGCTGAGGGAGGGTGGCGTTTGTGCACAGACTGCCCTATATGACATCATAACAACAGTCTGGACCACTGGACGGGTTCCGCAGGACTGGAAGGATGCCCTGGTGGTCCCCCTCTTTAAGAAGGGGGACCGCACAGACTGTAACAACTACAGGGGCATCTCCCTCCTCGGTGTTCCGGGAAAGGTCCTGGCAAGGATTATTCAACATCGCCTTGCTGGGCATGCTGAGGAGAGGCTTGCGGAGCCTCAATGCGGTTTCAGGCCACGGCGGTCCTGCACAGATGCCATAGTTTCTGTCCGTCTGCTCCAGCAGAGGTGTAGGGAATTCCAACAAGACCTACATCTCTGATTTATTGACCTGATACCATCCCTGTCACACACCAAGGTGCACGACAGGGATGTCTCCCACATTATTTAACATCTATTTCGACCACGTAGTTTGAGAAGCGTTCAGTGGCTGTACCGGAGGAATTTACATCTGGTACAGATACAATGGGAGGCTGATGGATGCCCGGGTGTGGTCAAGGGATGGCTCCCGATTGGTCAACCATGTTATGTATGCCGATGATCTGGTGATTGCTGCTCACTCAGAAGATGAGTTGGAGGCACCGCTGCTGAACCTGGGGCGTGCCACTAAGAGGTGGGGCCTTACCATCAGCCCCACCAAAACTAAGCTCCTTCCTGGATATTTTGTGCCATCAAACACTCCACCCCCACAACTCCCAATCAGTGATGGGGCAGTTGTGAAGAGAGTGGAGAGTTTCCCATACCTGGGCAGTGTGCTTATGACTGGCTCCAGTTTGACAGCAGAGGTCTCACTCCGAATCAGTCGAGCAGCACTATCTTTTCATCGGCTGTATAGCGCTTCGGGTCTTCTCGGCCACAGTCATGCCCTCCCTTCTTTGCTTGCGAAATGTGGACCCCCCTTATGAAACATCTTTGCCGGTTACAAATATTTAGGCTAGCCTGCCTACGATCTATGCTGGGTTTAACCAGGCTGGATTGTGTGAGGAGTTCACAAATCTTTGAAAGATCTGGACAAAGTCCCATCGGTGAGCTCCTCCAGCAGGCAAGGCTGCATTGGCTGGGTCACGTAGCCCGCATGCCCAGCCACCGCATGCCTAAACAGCTTTTGTGTGGCCAGATAGTGGGGGCTAAACAGGCGTGGCACAGGCTAGAGAAGAGATGGAATGATGTGGTACAAGAGGATGTGGAGCTGAGTGGACTTGCCGATGACTGGTACCAGCGGTATCAAGATCGGCCTCTGTGGAGGAGGCTCGTGAAGGACGCTGCTGGGCAGGTGGAGGCAGTCGCCCTCCAACAACAACGGAGGGCGGAGGAGCGACGCTCACAACAACGAGCGGAGCGCTGGGTAGCTAAAACACAGCAGGTTGGCACAGTAGGGGGCACAGATGGTGCATTGACCAGTCATCTCATTCAGTCAACCCATGACACCTGGGTCTGTCCTGTTACCTGCCAGCGGGCGTTTGACAATTCACGTGGCCTTAACGTGCATATAGGGGCCATCCATTTAGTACGTACGCAAATATTTGTCAAAACTTGACCCCTCCCTGTACGCACGTGAACTTTTAGCACCCCCCCCCACACCTGCGTACGTACGCCTGACGCACCGCCCCCTCCCCCCGAATCCAATAGAACGGCCGATATTTAATTCACGCAGAAACGATCAAGAATTAATAATATTAAAGTGTTTAAGCAAATGGATAGTCCACCGCCGGACTATCTAACTCATTTGAAGGCCGATGTAGACAAATTATTATCGAGGCTTCACCCCCCCTCCACTCCCGCTGTTTCCTATACGTGCATTGTCAGTAGACCGCCCCCCATACGCAAGCGGCAGGCTTGTGCCATGGCCTGCCACAAGGGCCTTGGTGACGTCACCGTCACTTATTGGCGAATGGCGGTGGTTGTTGTTGTTGTTGAGTGACTGAGTGGGTGAGTGACTATGCGAGTCTGTGTATTTTGAACTTCTTTCGCACCTTGAGATAGCCAACCGGTGCTCATCGAAGGGTGGGTGGTGAGTGTGTGGGTGAGTGACTATGTGAGTCTAGGTACGTGTGTGTGTTCTTTTGCGCACTAATCGGAGGTGCGGGAGTGGGGAAGGACAACAAACTGAACACATGGAGGAGGTGTCATGATGCCACGTTCGGTTTGCATGTTTTACCACAAGCAGTGTGGTGGTTAATGCAGGAATTGATTCCTTGCAAAACGCTTTATCTGTTTGGTGTTTGAACATCTTAACACCTCCTGTTGTATTTCCAGAAAGGGTGAAACCTATTCTTATGTTTCATACTTTGATACTGGCAAAAAGATCCCATGATATATACTCTTTGGTTCTATTCGGTAAAGTCACCACGTAGGTAAAAAATTAAAACAACAAAAATCACGACGTTTCGGCCACAACACAAGCGGCCTTCATCAGGTGAAGGGACCGGACTGTCTCGAGGACAGCGCTGGAGTGCGAGACAGCACGGTCCCTTCACCTGATGAAGGCCGCTTGTGTTGTGGCCGAAACGTCGTGATTTTTGTTGTTTTATTTTTTACCTACGTGGTGACTTTACCGAATAGAACCAAAGAGTATGGATCCTTGCAGTCACGAAAGCTTTAAATCTAGAATCCCATGATATATTTCATGTTTGGTTCGCGTGT